TTTACAGGCAAACTTAAGATTGTGAAGCCTTTTGAATTTTCAATATTTCTATATACTGTCGGGCTCTGAGTTCACCCAGAGCACGTCAGCTCTGAATATGCCTCACAGCAAGTCAGCTGGCCATCTCACCTTATCTCTGCTGCTGCCAGATCTGTATTTCTGCTTGTGTGCTAGCCGATGGTTTTGGAATGACTCAGTAGAGCTGAGGATGGATTCTGCAATAACTGCAGGGTTGCAGGATGGATTCTGCAACAACTGTGGTGCTGCTGGAACTGGCTCTTTATTGATGTGGTGCATATTGTTAAAGTGGGTTGGGGCACATATAGGTGGTAATTAGGACTTAGGTTAAAACACAGTGAAGGTAGCACCAGGTAGGGATCAGTTAGGGTCAGCATAGGGTAGGGATATAGACATGTTGTAGGGTTAATAGCATTTAGGGATAATGGGTTAGGCATGACCAGAATTAGAACTGCGTATAGGCCTGGGTGTGGTGGGGTGTGTCTCATGATAATGGTGATAAAAGGAAAAGGAGCAAACTCAAACCCAACTCTAACCTTGCCTGGCTTTTAGCCATTCTTGTTGTTTGATGCTATATTGAATAAACCACCATTGTCCTAAAGAGTAGCTGGAGTTTGGATTCATTTAAAGACAAATCTTCAATACTCAAGAACTGGCTGAGAGATATAGTAAATATGACCCAAGACATTATCTGTTCTTTATCAAGTTGTAAAATTAGATACAGGTAGTCCACAATTTACAACCATTTATTTAAGTGACTTTGAAATTACAGCTCCACTAAAATGACTTATGACTGGTCCTTGCACTAACAACTCTCACAGCATCCCCATAGTCACATGATCAAAATCCAGGCACTTGGCAACTGGCATATATTTAATCAATCAATCAGAATAGAGCTGGAAGAGATCTTGGAAGTCTTCTAGTCCAACAGCCCCTCTCCAAACAGGAGACCCTGTACCAGGGTTGTCAAACTCCTGGCCTGAGGGTTGGATGTGTCACGCACTAGCCATACCCACACCCAGTTTAGCAAAGGGAAGAAAAATCCCAATATGTCCTGTGATGACATGATGACCCTTCCCTATACCATTTCAGACGAGTGATTGTTCAGTCTTAAAAGCCTCTAGTGATGAAGCACCCACAACTTCTGACGGCAAGCCAATCTATGATGGCTGCAGTGCCTCAAGGTCACGTGATCACCCTTTGTGATCTGTCCAGCTGGCTGACAAGGTGAGACTGAAAGCTGGGTTTGCTTAAGTCATGTGATTTGCTTAAAAATTGTGGCAGAAGTCATAAAATTAGATGTAATTAACTATCTTGCTTTTCAACTCAAATTCTGATCCCAACTGTAGCTGCAAATTGAAAAACACTTGTAAAGAGAATCCAGTTAAATGAACCAAAAACATTATACTTGTTCTTTGATTTGAGGAAAATAATTAAAAGCTACGTAGTTGTGTGTGTGCATTATCAATTTATTTGAAATGGAAATTAGAGCCAGGTGTCTCAATTAAAGGGATAATTGGGTGTGACTGTGAGAAGTCCTGCCTTATTTAAAGAAGAATTGTGGGTGTTCACTAGCAAAGTTACTACACAGGTTTGTGGAAGTATGTTATGGCTCAAATAAAGATTTCTGAAGATCTCTGAAAAGAGATCTCAACACAAAGAGATGCTGTCCATTTTGGAAAAGGTTACAAAACAATTTCCAAACATCTACTACTTCACTGTCAGGCAGATTGGTTACAGATGGAGGCAATTCAGTGCTGCTTGTTAACCTCCCTAGGAGTGGTTAACCAATCAAGATCACACCAAAAGCAAGATGTGTAATATTCTGGGAGATCTCCAAGAATTCAGGAACTCAAAGAATCCTAGGAACTAAAGGCAGCTCTTGCATTGGCAAATATCACTTATTCATGAAAACATCATTAGGAGAACTCTGAACAATGGTGTATACAGCAGAGTTGCAAAGAAAAGGTTTGCTGCCTATTTACAGTTTGGGAAAGGCCATGCACATAAGTCAGAAATCTATTGAGGTATGCTCTCTAGATAGATGAGACCAAAATATAAATTAAAATCATTTTTGGCAAAGGACAAACATTGTGTTCCAGCCTAAGAACTTTGTCCCACTTGTGAAACCAATACCATGATTTGGGTTTGCTTTGCTTCCTCTGGACCAAGACATCACTGGTGTATTCTGACTTATATCAGCAAATTCTACAGAAACCTACCAGGGTACCTGTCTATGAACTGAAGCTCAAGAGAAAGTGAGTCGCGCAACAAGACAACCACCCCAAAATACAGTAATACTTTTGCCACATACAAATGTGTAGTTTAGATAATTTTCCTGAATCAATGGCTAAGTATAATGATTTGATTCATTTGTTTAATTATGTTCTTTTTATGTATTTTTAGGACTTCTGTAAAGTGATCACATTTTAGGTCACACTTATAAAGAAATATTGAAAATTCAAAAGGGGTCACAAGCTTTCAAGCTTCACTTCATGTTGTATAGATACTTGCCTTTGTTCAGATCATTATGAACTTTTAGCTGCATTTCAAAGAGAAATCTAAATACAGGGAGTCCTTGACTTACAATAGTTCACTTAGTGACCATTCTGAAAAAAGCAACGTATAACTTTTTCCCACTTATGACCATTGCAGCACCCTATGGTCATGATTTACATTTGGATGCTTGACAACTGACTCAGATTTATAACAGCTGAGGTGTCGCAGAGTCACGTGATCCCCTTTTGCAACCTCCTGATGAGCAAAGGGAATGGGGAAATCAGATTCACTTAATAACTGTGTTACTCATCTAAGAACTGCAGTGATTCATTTAACAAATGTGGCAAGAAGTCGTAAAATGGGGCAAAACTCACTTAACAATTTTTTCACTTAGCAACATAAATTTTAGGCTCAATTGTGGTTGTAAATTGAGGCCTACCTGTATGATGATCTAGGAAGGTTCATTTATGGCGCATAGAATTTTTTTAAAATGGTTTTGCTGAAAAAGTTACACTGTATCAGAAAGAGCTGTACAGATAGTCCTCCACTTACAACCACCAGAGCCCAAAATTTTTGTTCTCAAGTGAGGGATTTTATAAATGAATCTTGCCCCATTTTATGACCTTTTGTGTCACAGTTGTTAAGTCAATCACAGCAATAGTTAAGTCAGTAACTCGGTTGTTAGATGAATCTGGCTTCCCCGTTGACTTTGCTTGTCAGATGGTCACAAACGGTGATGACATGATCTCAGGACACTGCAACTGTCATAAATGTGAATCGGTTCCCAAACATTTGATTTCTACTTATGTTACCATGGGGATACTGCAATGCTTGGGTGAAAAACAGTCATAAGATACTTTCCAGTGCTGTTGTAACTTCAAATGGTCACTAAATGAACTGCTGTAAGTCAAGGACTACCTGTAGTAAGATTAGGAAACATGTATCCTCTATTTAATTCCAACCAATCTTAATCTGCACGGATACTGTTCAACGATTATGAGTGTTGTAATCAACCTTTGGAGAAGTACAAGTTGCTCAAACCAATTTAACAGTATAAAACGTATCTGAATAACCGATTAAGCTTCTCCCAAGTACTTGTTAAATAAATAAAAGCAAATCCATCATTTATACTAATGCTGAGTGGGAAGAAACCATGTTCACTCCATTGAAAGTATTTAGACAATAATAGTACAAAGATATTATCTACATACAAAAACGGTTTTTTTCTGAAAACATGTGCTTTCCCCCTAAAAACAGAATATCATGTTAGGAATATAAGTCACCTAACAGTTATTTGGGTTAGAAATATATAAGCCAGGATAGACATTTTAGTACTATGTCTTTAAGAGATTGCAAAAACTGCAATTGGGTGTGGTTTTTCAAACGGCCATAAGATGGAGCCAGAAACCTGTGTTGTCTTAGTCTCAGAAGAGAGTGTGTCTGAGTGAGTATCTCTATTTCCTTCTGTTGGAAAGTATTGCCATTCCTCCATTTTTCCTAATTGACTGCTATTTCTGGATTTAATGTAAGTCTTACTGAACTGTTTTTGACACTGGACTTTGATATTTGGATTATCCCTGGATTGAAAAACTGACTGATTTACCTGTGAATGACTTTTGGACTGCTTATCTTGAACTTTACTTAAACTGTCTGGAAGTAAAAACCTACATTTACTGTACAGTGTATCTGTGTGCTGTATGTGTATTATTCAAACACTACTCTCAAATACGTCTCCCTGTATGCGCTCATTCTCCTAACGGGGAATTACTTCAACATAGCATACTGCATATCCTGTAACTATGTAGATGACACTACTCTGATAGCTGAAAATGTAAATGATCCACAAACTCTAATAAGTCATGCAGCAAAGTAAAAAAAAATGGTACTAAAATTAAATGTAAATAAAACCAAACCAATGGCAATAGGTACAACAGCCAGCCTTATAACTGACAGTTAAGATACTGAAGTGATAGAGAGCTTCTACCTTTTACAATCAACTATCAACAGTAAAGGAACAAGCTGCAGATTAACTTTTACAGAACAGCCACGAAGGCCTTGGAAAAACTATTCAGATCCTATGATGTGTCTATACCTACAAAGCTCAGAATATCACAGTATATGGTATTTTCTGTGAAAGTCTATATGGGAAGTGAAAGTTGAACTCTGAAGAAGTAAGATAGAAAGAATACTGACTCTTTTGAACTTTGGTATTGGAAAAGTGTACAGAAATATGCTTCAGGGCTGTGTCACACTTCTAAGTGGCTGTGCAATTACAAGAACGACAGATATAACTATTTAAAGGTATTACAGGTAAGATGCTACAGTTCTGCTCCTGAACTCTTCAAAGCACCTTTGGAAGCTGAATCTAAAATGCTGCCCAGTCCCTGCGCCACATGCACACATCATTCCAAATATATTTGTTCATGTGTATGGAGAATGAAATCAAAAACATTAGCAGAAGTCTCATCTTTACTGGAAGCCTTTTTTGTTCTGTTTTGTTTCTTTTTTTCATACAGATAACCAAATATCCAATATCCTGTTTGATGGTTAAATGCAGAGAAGGGCCAGTATAGATTAAAACAATGCTGGCAGAATAAGAGAAAACAAATATGCTGTAAAGTATATAGAGAATGTGCTTATGGGAATTACATTTTTTCCTTCTTCATGCAATTAACAATACATGAAACTTTGTATTCTTCTGCTAAACACAGTGGCTGCTGTGTGAGAACATTTTGCCTCTCCAGGATATGAGGAAAGAACGGTATGGAACTACCCTTCTCTCTTGGATGAGGCTAAACTTAATCCGCTTTGAAGAAGTTTGACTATCTCAAACTAATGAGATAGTCGCCAAATGCTTGAGTCTCACTCATTTCACTCAGTTCCTTCCATAGCCCCATCTTCTTATTCTTCGAGCCATTTCCTCCTTTTTTCTTTTCTTTAAATGTTTCCAGCTTTGGCCACAACCCTGCTGTGCTCTCTGTAGCCTTTATCATCTTAACAATGGAGACAGATCAAGTCTTGGAGTCTGTAGTTCTCAATGTGGTTTGGGGACATGCCCATCCACATAAAAGTTCCTAGTGATTTTGGGAAGGGTGAACTCTGCTCCTTCCAGGTCTTTACTAAGGATAATTTGGCAGCCCAGTCGAGAGTTCTCCTGAAGCAGCGGAGCCATATCCAACATATCCTCCTCCCTAGGTGGAGAAGAATGTCAGGAATTATTTATAATAGCAATTAACATCCTGACTTTGCACTTACAACATTCATGGGAGATAACTACTTTAAAACCTGAAAAAGAAAGATGAAAAAGAAAAGCAAGAAGATCGAAATATTAATAATATAACAGCACACTTTGTCAAGATTTTAGAAATGGTTTGTCATTGACTGTTTCCTAGGGCTGAGAGAGGCTGGCTTGTGCTTTAATTGGGACTAGAACTCATCATCTCCCAGTTTCTAGTCTGGTGTCTTAGCTACTATACCAAGCTGACTTTCTCTGAATAAATATATACAGATTTTAAATACTTATTCCAATTCATACAGCATTATAGACTTTACAAATGCTTTTTTGTCTTTTGTAATTGTTTTTTTTTTAATTTCCTTATACAACAAACTTTTTTTAGTACATTCAGCAACTTTTGGTGCTGCATCAACCAAACAGAAGATAAATTATATATAAATATACCAAAGTACAAAACAAAGTATATCCAAATTTGTATATCATGTTGCATGGGACCATTCTATGTAACTCTTCAGGTTTTCAGCTAAAGAGCATTGACTATAAATTTAGCAGTTCTGCTGGTCACACGTGTACTAGTGCCCAGAAGGAAATATGACAAGCTGTTGTGAGGTCTCAAAAGGCTGTTCTGTTAAATTAAGATTCTAAATATCAGGCCTATGCTGAGATGTACATAACTGGCAATCAAGCAATGTGTGCTCTCTCCTGTAGCTGGAGCTCCACCTGCTTAACTTCTATCATAATATCCCCACGCAATAGAGATATACAGCACGTTCAGAAAGTATTCAGATCCCCTTCCCTCTTGCCAATTTGGTTATGCTGCTGCTTCATTTTACAGTGGTTGAAATTCATTTTTTTTCCTCATTAATCTACACTCAGTACCTCATGACAAAGTGAAAACAAAAATTTTAAATGTTTCTAAATTTATTAAAAAGAAAAAACTGAAATATCCCATTGGCCTAAGTATTCAGACCCTTGACTCAGTACTCTGTTGAAGCAACTTTGGCAGCAATTACAGCCTCGTCTTTTTGGGTATGACGTGACAAGCTTCGCACACCTGGGTTGGGGGATTTTCTGCCATTCTTCCTTGCAAATCCCCTCAAGTTCAGTCAGGTTGGATGGTGAGTGTCAGTGGACAGCCCTTTTCAGATCTCTCCAGAGATGTTCAATAGGTTTCAGATCAGGGCTCTGGCTCGGCCACTAAGACATTCACAGTCTCTAAGCCACTCCTGTGTTGTCTTGGCTTAGGATCATTGTCATGCTGGCAAGTAAACCTTCAGCAAAATACTTGTACTTTGTTCCATTCAGCTTTCCCTCAACCCTGACCAGTCTCCCAGTCCCTGCTACTGAACCCCCCACAGCATGATGTTGCCACCACCATGCTTCACTGTTGGGATGATATTGGGTAGGTAATGACTGGTGCCGGGTTACATCCAGACATAACATTTAAAATTGAGGCCAAATAGTTCAATCTTGATTTCATCAGACCAGAGAATCTTGTTCTTCACAGTCCGAGAGTCCTTCAGGTGCTTTTTTTTTTTTTTTTTTGCAAACTCCAAGCAGGCTTTCATGTGTTTTGCACTGAGGAGAAGCTTCCATCTAGCCACTCTTCCATAAAACCCATATCGATGGAGGGCTCTGTCCCATCTCCACATAGAATCTCTGGAGCTCAGTCAGAGTGACCATTGGATTCTTGGTCACTTCTCTTACTTATGCCCTTCTCCCCTGGTTACTCAGTTTGACTGGGTGACCAGCTCTTGGAAGAATCCTGGTTGTGCTAAACTTCTTCGATTTGAGAATTATGGAGGCCACTGTGCTCTTAGGAATGTTCAGGGCAGCAGAAATTTTATTGTAGCCTTTTATTTGTGCCTTGCAATAATCCTTTCTCTGAGCTCTGCAGGCAGTTTCTTTGACCTCGTGGCTTTTGCTCTGCTATAGTAAATTTCTTCTGCCTTCTATAGAGAGATGTGTACCTTACCAAATCATGTCCAATCAATTTAATTTACCACAGGTCAATTCCATTCAAGGTGTAGAAACATGTCAGCAAAGATCAAGAGAAATGGGAGGCACCTGAGCTAAATTTCAAGTGTTGTTGCCAAGGGTCTGAATGTTTATGCCAATGTAATATTTCAGTGTTTTTGTTTTTAATAAAACTTGTGTTTTCACTTTGTCATTATGGCATATTGAGGGTAGATTAAGAAAATGAATTTCAATAACTGTAGAATCAGGCTGCAGCAAAACAAAATTGACAAAAGTAAAGGGGGTCTGAATACTTTCCAAATGCATTTTATATATTATAATATCAAACTGACTCAGCACACAAACTCTCCAGGAGAATTACTTTTGGTAAAGTTTCAACACATACTGGAAATTATTCGTGTAATTGATGATAATTTTTCAGTCTTGAATGTGTTATGCACTTAAATACTCAAATTGTCCTTCATTACAGGGAAAAAGCAACCAAGAAAAAGAACAAGCCCTTCCTTGCTATGTATACTACATGTGTGTAGTACTATTAGTATATACAATAAGTATCCCCCCCATATTGCTTTACTTTTAGTACTGGCTTTTACTATTATTCAAGTCAGAAGCAGACAGAAAAACTACAGAGGTGTCACGGGTCTTTCCAAAATAAAAACAATGGATGCCTCCTCCAAAATTATTCATCCCAAAAGAGCCAGAACATACCCAGTCAATTTGCTCCAAAGGGCTTGAGAAAAGCATCTGTATAAAGCTAAAATCAGGAAAGGTTAGCCTAGTGACAGTCTAACGGTCAGCCACAGCCTCTGTAAGAATAAAGCCAAAGTAACCCTTACCGTTCATCAGGTTTGGGAAGCTTATCCACAAAATCATCGCTTACATAAACATGACAGGTGGAGCAAGCTAAGGAGGCTTCACAAGCACCTGGGGAAGTAAAAGATAGATGGGTTCAGTCCAGCTTCCTTGATCTCCAATGATTCTTCTGCCAAGCAGCAGCATAACAGAAAACCATTGTGTGGATTTAAATCTGTGTCATCCTTTGCGTTTTTTTTCCCCAGGCAAATCTTCCTAACCCTTTTCTTCCTGGAGAGGAAAAAGGTTTTTTTAAAAAAAATAAAGGGAGAAGTTAGTTACTAGTGCTAGATTACATAAAGAAGCAGCATTGTTTCGGGCTATCATTAAATGTTGGAATCTACACAATTCCTGTTGGTAAGCTGAAGGCACCTAGCAACAGGTAAACAAAAAATCAGAAAATTAGGAACATGGGGTAACGGGATGGTGTTACTAATTTTTACTGTCTCTGTACAGGCCTAGTAATTGTTTATACAAGAGGAAATCTTTTTGCTGCAGAGTTTAACATATTTTTCTGTGAGACATCTTTTAAAGTTACAATCTGTGATAGGACAGCTTTAATTTTTAATCTTTAAAATTGAGTGTTATTTAGAAAGTTTGCTTCTACGCTGTTATAAGGCTATAATTGTAGAACTTTCAATTTGGAAGCAGTATACTAAATACAAAGTGCAAAAAACTTATAGGGCAAGACCCCAAAATACATGGTTGCCTAGGGAACCAAGAAGAAGTAGAGCCCATCTCTTCGCTTTGTTGATGGTTATTTTATAGGCTGCTCAGCTTTGTGTTTTTTCTACTTTATATTGTATATTTTATCTGGTTTATTTATATTAATGTAAGCCACTTATGAGATGGGCAGGTATGTAAACCCAATAAATAATTGTATTCATATCCTGCTTGTGTGGGTTTCCCAGAGCATGTGACCCAATGTTGGAAACAGAATGCTGGCCTAAATTGATCTTTGCTCTGATCCAGGAGAGCATTATATAGATATTCATGACATACCTTCTAGTTCAATGCCATTTTTCTGAGCCAAATGCAGCACATCATCCCCAACTTGGCCTTGCACTGGGATTTTTTGCCCACAACGATCTATGAACACTACATTGACTCTGAGACAGAAGAAACAATATGGAAATGCTCTCAGTTCAGGGCCATCCAGTATATATCATACGCTCAAATGCTACAAGAACAACTGAATGTTTTCTGGAAATTTGTTTTTATGTAGAATTGCAAGCAAACATCCTCATTCTTGCCTGTCCTTGTTCACCCTTTGCTGGATGAGAATTTTGAGTGCTACTATGCTAACACATATGGGGAAGACAGGAAGAAGATTGATCTAATATCTGATACAGATTTTTAATCTGAAGTAAAAGACACAAATGATAAAAGTTATTTGAGAGACATACTAAGACTAATTACTTTTACTAGCATGAATCAACCTGGATCAATCTACCATGAAAGCAAATACTTTAACCATAATTTTCATCCTAGGTTGATTTAGGTTAGTATGTGATTTTATAAAGCCAAGTTAAAGCCCCTAATTTAAATAAATCTTCCTAGAGAAAACAAAGCACAGGCTTCGCTATAGGGTCAAATTGGGCTACCTCATTACAAAAATGCCTTTTCTGAAGGAAAACTGCACTGCTAGCTTAAGTTTAGAACATTCAAAGGACATTAATTTGTGAAGATATTGGAGGTAAGCAGAGCTCTGGCAAAGCAATTAAAAATAAGTCCCTAGACAGAAAGAAACTATGTTATAGAAAGCCTTTGTTCATTGAAAACCCAAAATGTAGTCTTGACTCATTACCTCAGTGTAGTTACACCTTAATGGCCTCATTGATTTTACTAGGCACATGACGTGTTGTACCAATGTATTAAACCTAGATATTATACAATCTGTTATACCTAATTGCAATATTCAATCACATGTATATTCTCATTTGCATAAGTCAATAATGAGGGACTGTAACCCTCAAGCCTATTTTTGCTGCCACTTTCATGCTTCAGTGCATGCTTTGTTTTATGCTTCAATGTAATGTGTTCTGGTCTCTACTCCAAATATACCCCTAAAATATTCTACTACAGTTTAAACTTTTCTGAACTTAGTTTCCACATCAGCCAGACTAGGGAGATCTATTCAAAGTTATTTTTGTACTTTAAAACCGAGCACAATGTCAAGAAATTGGAGTAGCAACAAAATGTGCCTGCTTTAGTTGAACCACTTCTAGTTTCATGCATCTACAACATCTTAATACTCACACTTCTGCTTTGCAGCTCTTATCTTCAGTTTGAAAAGCCACTGGAAAAACAGTAACAAAATGCCATTGTTAATTCGGAAAGCACAAATCCTTTCAGGAATTTTGCCCAGCCAGATTTTGGTACTACATGCTAGACTCACCTCTTTATCACCCTCTAAGTCAAGTATTAAGGCTTTATTAGAAACAGATATGGTGTTTACTATTTGCATTATTTTGTGTATCCCATGGCATAAAATAGTAAGTCTTAGCTTTATTTGACAAAATTTTGCAACATAAAATAGAGAAAGGGATAGGACAATTAGATCTCCAGCCGAATGAAATCCTTTTTAGACAATCATCACTACATTTGAATGTTGGTTTTAGGGCTGTTCATGCAAGATCACAGTGCTTCTTAACACAGAACAACTGGAGTCAGTCATTGAAGACTTTCACTATTTCATTTTTAGTACTAAATCTGTATTATCATGGTCTCTTCAATAAATCAGTTTTCAGAAATATTCATCTTCCCAACTAACAGTCCAACATGATAAAAATGACAGTAGAAATGGATTCAATAAATACTAAGAAATGCTTCTATAAACCATAAAGAACACAAACAAATGTAAAAAAACTACTCTATAAAAAAACAGACAACTTGGAAATGGGGAAACAGTACAAATTCCTAGGAGCAATATGAAGGATCCAGACAGCGTATGTAAGTTAAATGTTTGAGAGATGTCCTCATCTAGCACCCAAAATAATAGTGACTGCATGGTATATATATCCGCCTTTAAAAGCCATATTATGCTAGGATAAAATGAGATTTAGTGTTCAGTGTGTTATGCAAACATATTTTCTTATGTGACTACTCAAATATTTCAACTATGTATTTGTTAGTCTCCAATGTACTTAAAAACTGGTGTAATCTGTATAGAACATACATTAGGGTTGGAAGGGATCTTGGATCTTCTAGTCCAATCCTCTGCTTAAGTAGGAGACCCTATGATTCCAGACAAATGACTGTCCAATCTTTTATTGAAAATCTACATTAATGGAGCACCCACAACTCCCTGAGGCAAACCATTCCACTGCTTAATTGTTCTGTCAGTAAATTTCTCGTTAGTTGTAGGTTGGATCTCTCTTTAATGATCTTCCACCCATTATTCCTTGTCCTGTCCTCGGGTGCTTTGGAGAATATATTGAGAATATTCGATGACTGGATGGAGTATATTGCAGAATATTGGAGAAGGAGACTCAAACTCAAAATCTCAAAAAAGCTACAGAGACTTATTAATGACCTTGAACTACTGTAATTTTTTTTAATCCTAAAGTACCCCACAGAATCACAATAACGAGCAAAGGGGGAGAATAATAATGGTGATGATTATCTCGGAAGCAATCAAGGGTATTGGGGGGAAGATGGGAAATGATATAGATTAACAGCTGTCTACATTGTCGAACGGAAGAAAAGGTAAAGCAAATCATAGTCAAATGGAGACAACAAACATTTGGAAGGGAAGGCTGGGGCGGGGAAAAAGGAAAGGATTATCGCGCTCCCCTTTTCGATTCGTTGGGAATCCAAATCCGTTCAAAACACAAAACGAGTAAAGGAACGGCTGGCGGAAAAACCGCTTCCCCCCCCCTCCCTCCCTCTATACTTTAAGGCCAGAGAAACATGCTCCCAGCTGCAGCCGCCATCCCACCTGTAGTATGAAAGCCCCGAAACTGAAATCGGCCGGCAGTTCCCAGAAGCAACTGGAGGCGACGCCACCCCAAACCCAGGGTCACACTCACGCCACCACCGGCAGCCCAGGAGGCCGCCATTGCACGATCCACGTGACTGCATGGCCGGGTCAGAGGTCGGTTGCTAGGAAGTCAAAACGCAGAGGGAGGAGCAAAGAAGGCCCGTATTCCCTTGGAAGGGAATTTGTTCCCGCAACAGGTTTAATGGAGTCACCGAATTAATTTTCTGAGATTATATACCATAAACTGATCACAAGTTAGGCTTACACAATACACCGAACTTCTCATCCGCCTTCCAGATCAGGAACAACGCCATCCTCCAAAATTAGCTAATATAATACATATTGCATTCTTGTTGTATGCAGATGATATATAAATGTATATTGGACTTAGAGAAGTCGTGAACCCTCTGGCTAGTTATTGACCCGAAATTTTTTTTGAAATCAACTATAGTAAAACTAAGATTATGATATTTGCAAGAAGGCTTAAATTGCATGCCTGGAAGATGAACGCCAGAACATTGAACATGTTGATTTTTCTTAAGAATGTTTTTGTGTGCGTGCAGTTAAATCCCTCCTTTTAAAGCAATGAGATATTTACCGTATATTGTATAATTGTCCCCAAACTCCAAAGTGCATTTTTAGCATGCTGCAATGCATTTTCCACAGGACTGATTAAAAAAAAATCCATGAGCTGAAATTGTGCCCCTGTAGACAAGGGGCTATCAAAACTACTGCTCGTCATACTGCACTGTATCTTCTATAAGAACTCATGGACCCACTTTATAACACTTCACCTGATAAAATAGCTGGGGAATACTGATTTTTTTAAATGTACAATTGATGTTTTCAGATCAATACAAGGTATTTTCTCTGAATGTGGCTACATTCTGTTACTGTCTGCAAAATTAGATACTGACTGCCCACTGATAATCCACCACTAATTGTAATATGTCTTTTTTCCTATTGTTTTTATATTTTATTTTAAATGCTGGTCTGTGACTGTAATGTTATCTAAATACCAGCACAGATCTAAGTGGCAATACAAATCTTTAATCTGGCTACTATGATATATATTTTGAATATACTTTTAACATATTTGTGTGAATGGAGAGATCCTGAAATGGAGAGATTATCTACTACAATATGACCACTAAATTTTTTGAGTTGGAAGCATGGAGTATGGATGGACATGATTTGCAGGTTGTCCCTAAGAGTGATATCATGGAGTGGGTTTGAGTTTGTGTCTTCAGGCCCATATTTACAAAATAGATAATTGAAAAAGTCATTGTTTGTTAGTTGTCTAGATTGTTGTATGAATCCATTATGTGTTTTTCTTCCCAGCTTGTCTATCAACTGATTAATAGAGATGTTTTTGGAAAATGAAGGAGCATCAGTTTGGAGACCCATCTGGCTGAAATAATGGCTGTGAAACGGAAACTGCAGGGAAAGCGATGTGAGAAAAATTGAAATGGCCCTAGCAGTCAGGGTTTTGAAAATTCTGTTCCATGTTGTAAAAAGGAAAGTACCTGTTAACTGTACAGTTTTACAATACTTGCTTTTCCTTCAGCATAATCATATCATAAATTCTATCATGTTTTCTATCAATATTTTTTGGAAGAAAAAAGTAGTTGGAATTATTGGTTTGGGATAATCCACATGTGTGTAGGATACTCTTTCAATAGCCAAGATGCTAACTGCATTGAGATGGCAAATGTATCAGGCTAGGCCCAAGAACATTCCACCCGAGTTCAATACTATATTTGCTCACATTCTTACCAGAGCAAACCCTTACCATCTCAGCTTAATGGATTTATCCTGGGGGATTTCGGGGAGTGACTATCTGAATTTGTTATGTTTCCTATTCATCTCTGGGCTGTGTTGCTTCTTCTCTTATCCCCCTTTCTGGAATGTGTCCTTTCATTCCTGGAAAACTGCTGCCTTGTTATTTTTCATACCAGCTCCCCTTTCATCATCCTCATCTCTCAAAAAATGGGACCTTACTAGAAAAGTAGGCAGTAGCAGGAGGTATCATTAGACTATGGATTTTCACAAATTATGGTCAGTACAACCAAACAGAGCAACCCAGGTCACTCTGGCTGCTCAAGACCAGATTTTCTGGAACAAAGCAAACAGCAAGGATGGCAAACGGGTGGGAAGGGCAGACAGGATTTCAGTGAGAAAAGTAGCATGAATAACAGGGCAATCTTGGAGAATAAAAAAAAAGTTGACCTCTAGAATTCAGAAATAATGTAACTAGTTCAAATTCCTCCCACCAGTATGAGAGCTCAGCTTGAGCATTATATTTAAATCATTAGTATACTAAAAAAAATTAAACTTCATCGTTGATAATTTGGGATTTAGAATCAGGAGATAGTGAAGAGTTGAAGAAACAAAAAAATCCTCCCCCCAAGATGAAGTGATTACTGACAAAACAAGTTTTTGTTAAAGCTACAATTCTATTTCATTGGTAACTGGTTGATGTAAAATTACAGGTTATTTAGCATTAGAGGAAAAAAGAGATATCTGTCCCTTTTTTTCTGAGGAGAGTGGACAGTAAGAATAAAAAATTGTGGATCAATAGAAACTTTGCTGAAATTTTGCAGTCTCTGTTAGGTGTGTGGTGCTATCAGTTGAACAAAATGACATGTATGGAAACTACACCTTATTTTAAGAGGACAAGAAAAGTCAGGCATGGCTGGAAACTCAAGCAATAGAATTCATCCAAGGCATTGTCACTAGGATATCTGCTAAGTAGAGGGCAAAAAAGTCAGAAGTATCTGATAAGGAGCTCTAGCTCAGAAGCTCTTATGCCTTATAATAAAATTCATTTGCTGGAAAAGGTGCTACGAGAGTCCTGTTTATTTTCCTACAGTAGATTATTAACAACTTTCCTCTTACAAAGTTTACATAGGAGGGAAGTGGTATCCGACAACATACTTTCTGGAATATATTCAATTCATTGCAGGAAAGAAATGCCAAGGTATCTTGCTTCCTGCAGCTTATGTCTTTTTTTCAGAAATACTTTCTTACCTAAACAGAGAAATAGAATGACCTCATTCCAGCAAAAAAAATAGTGGGAAAGGGAGTGACCTCCAACTTCCTGCCAGTTTCCTTGTGGTAAGGTGACAGTGAGCATTGGAAATCTTGGTTCCTTCCTCCCTCATGTTCTTTCTTCCCTTGTTCTTCCTCCCTTCCCTTTGTCCCTCCCTGCAGGCACATAAGTGGCTGCTGGGGGCAGGGGGGGGGGGCAAGGGATTGAGCTAGTAGCCAGGGAAATGTTGGGTAATGCTGAAAATGGGGGTCATGTAGCTAGAGCAGTGCAGCAACCTGGCAGTACTGAAGCAACTACAATTCCTCCAAATGTCATTGCCTTCCGAGAAAGAGGTCCTGGCATTCTGTAAAGTTAACTCATTTGAGATACCTTGGTTGGAATTTTTTTGCTCTATGATGCAACATTTCACCCAATTGAAGGTTACAGACATGAGAGTTTTATTAATATATGGATTAACTCAAAAGATACCCCAACAACAGAAATACTACTGTTATTGTTAAGAATTATGAAATTCCATCCACCAGGCAACTTGCAAAGGAAACAAAAGACCTCCTCCAGTAATATTTAATATTCTTTTCAGCCTCTGGGCTGAAAAAAGGTCACCAATTCCCTTTTGATTTGTGTGTGTATGTGTACAAAAAGTTGACACTACTCATATGGATTTTTCACATAAGGCAGCCGTTCTAGATCCAGATACATATATGGAACACAAGTATCTTTCATCCAAGCATTAGTTTGTAGCACATTCTCAATGAATAATGCAACAGGTGGTGAAGTTTGATATAAATATAGCTTTACTTTAAGGAAGTTGGTATCCAGCTGTTGGTGGATTTGAAATCCAGCAACAAATACAGCAAACCAGCCAGTATATATAGTAGAAATATTGTAGCATGTTTATGAAACAGAAATAGTTCATTATATCAAAGCAGAACTCTAAATCCCTTGGGGAGAAGGCCATAGACTCCCACTCTCTCAAAATGAACCCTATTGGTCTCCTCTGAGAATGGACAATATTGCCTATCCTGAATCTAAACTGGCTTAAGGAATGAACTCTTCTTTGTTAACAATTTAAACCTGGATCTTGCCCAAACCACTCTGGTTGGAGGTGGTTGTGCTTTCTATCTATCCTCCCTTAACACAGCATAAAGATTCCAATTATCAATTCAGTAGTTGGCTAGTTCTGCCCAACTGCAGGCACCATATAAAAGGTGAATTCTATCGAAAAGTCAGATGTGTCACTAAGGAGTGTAATTGCAAGAAAACAAGTCACTCTAGAAAGCAATGCACCCAAAGATTGTCCCAGCCACTAAAGTTTGGTTTAAAAGATATCAGATCACAGTATTAGCATGAAGACAATGGTCAAAATAGAAAAAAACACACTCAGAAGAAAATGGTTTGTATCTCAAAAAGAAATTGGTCTAGACTAAAAACTACTACACCTAAAAAGACAGAAACTTTTTAAAAAAGCATTATTCAAGATGACTTTGATGTAACTCCAAGATCCAATGTTTCTAAACTATCATTAGAAAGAAGCAACTAAAAGCCCAGAATTTTTTTTTAAAAAAGAAATTTACAAATATTTACAAAAGCAAAATAGACGTATACTTTAAAAAGAAACCAATAAAAAAAGCGTGTAGAGAAAGTGAAGACTCAGTTCAACCTGAATACTCTAGGAGTGTGATTGTGATAATCTGCAGTTATTTGGAACTCTGTTTCCCAGTGGACACAAAGCATCACCACCGCCTTCCTCATCACCATTCACTCCACTGTACTATGAAACATCTAGAAGGACATATGCCTTTGTTAGGAGTCTTAAGGCAGGAACTTGTATCTCTCTAGAAGGCATGGCTCTTACAGGAAGAAGACTCCAATCTGAATTGCAGAGGAAGGAACAGTAGGAAAAACCCAATTTGTTGATTTTGGTCCAGCTGACTAAGCTTGGCAAAGCTTCTCATGATTGTCACATAGCTTCACCTGGGAAAAAACAGTGCTCTTTGGGAGCAAACATCCAAGTCCCATCTTCAATGTCCATAACAAGACTGCAGCTGGTCTTAGAAGCATAAAGGTATGGGGGTTTTTTACACACAAGCATTTTAAAAAACACTAAAATAAACAGTAAAAATATTTTTACAAACAATGTACACATTGGGGCTAGGGAGGATAACAGTGTTTCAACTAAGAAATGGATTAAAATATCCTCTTTCGCTTTAAATAGGAGTCTGCGTAGTGCCCTCCCAGGCCCTGAGAATGCTGGCCAATATAACTGCCTTCTGGACTAGGCTCTGGAGAGGGTAGCAGATGAGAAAAGGCTCGCTTCTGGCCTCCAATGGGAGTCTGCAAAAGAAGGACAAACGAAGTAAGGAAGGAGAGAAGCAGGAAAACGACACATTCAGGAGAATCTCCAAGTTTCAGAATTTCTTTTAGATTGAATCATTTCACCTTTGCGTAGCTACTGTGGGGTGGGCTAGTTGGTCCTAATCCAAGGATATTGTCTCCTGTGCCCATTGGTGGCATCCCAATAGCCTGAAAGATAAGGAAAGCTCCTAATGTTTTGAAGTAACTTTGGAGCAATGTGCAAACAACTGCAATATTGAAAGCTATCCAAAGTTAATTTGTACATGAACTTCAAATTACTTTAATGATAAAAAAATTACTTTGTTCAGGTGGCTTTGTCTAAGTCCAGCTTGAAGGCCACTTGTGAAATATGAGGTTGGAGACCCTGCATAGAATGGGGGCAATGGCGTTCCTAGGTGGTTTTGCTCAAACCCAGGAGATGAAACCTGAAAGAGAAATTGGATCGTTTTAGGTGCTTGCACGCAAACTCTCATATTTCAATATTTAAGAATTGTGCGTGTGTAAACTTTTCACTGACTGAAATCAGAAACAGACATTCAGAGCCTGGATTTTATGCCATAATTTTTATCGTTCGACTAGGAAATCTACATTTATGATACTACAAAAAATCAAAAAGTGGGACCTTCTTGTCATCTGCTATGTTCCTGATCAATACTTTCCCAGTATACTCCAGTATACCCTTTCCTTCTCACCCATTGCTTGCTCTTTCTCCATTTTAGCTAATAATGGCTTCCTCTTAAATATTTCCTAAAATATATAATTATGCATATGTTGGTGATAGATCTATGCACATCCCTGGCCAATACTGATGCTATTTTCCCCTCATATATAATGCCATTTGGCTGCACAAGGAACAGGGGTAATGGATTGAATATCAAAAATAGAAGGACCAGGTAAGAAATTGGCAGCTTCTTGGGAGCTCCCTAAAATCTGGTCCATTTTAACTAGTGGACAGTTTTTATTCAATTAATGTTTACCTTTTGCTTCTTATGTGCAAATACCCCTAGCTGGGATGCTGCCTCTCGGGGATATATTCGTGATACCAAGTCCTTTTGAAATGAGAGAGAATAGAACTTTTAAAAAAATATATTGCTACTACTAAAGACAAATATGGCCCTGAAACATTCACCTAATATTGTATATACTCACCAATGAAAAGCAAAAACCTATGCATGCCTACATGTCTTCCACCACAGTTTTCCAACTCAGATAAACCCAAATAAATAATCACAACTAATACTCACAGGCTGATAGTCAAATGCAGAATTATCTTCTGATTGACTAGATGAGGGCAGGAGAAGATCAGACATGGATGCCTGTTGCATTCTGGGATTGGAAGCATTGCCGAGTACACCAGTCTTTGGGCTGAATGTTTTATTAGTTCCACCTGCAAAGAAAGTGAATATGTAGTAATGAGACTACAATTCCTTTAGATTAAATGCAGGACCACATGGGAGAATATCTAATATGTAAGGAAAGCACAGATTTTCCATGCTAGGAGTAGCCATAATTTCTCTTTGTATTATCATTTCACCTTTGAACCTCCTATATTTGTAGCAGACTGAACTATGACACAAGCATGCGATTACAGGAAAGTTCTCCTGAGTGTTAGACTAAAGAAATAACTAGTCTAGCATTCTGTTTCCACAGCAGTCAACCAGATACCAACAGAGAGCCCACAAGCAGAAATTGAATAGTGCTTTTTCATTTATTTTCCCCAGCAGTAATGAGATGTCTATTACTTAAGAGTAGCCTTTGATATCTGCAATCATGAACAATCTATCTGATCTTTGAAAGTTACCCAACATCTCTGCCTCTTTGGGAATGAATTCTACATGCTGAATATTTGTTAATCAGAATCGGTAATCAGATTAATAAAAGAAGTAAAATATTGACACAGAAACAAAATTGTATCTGTATGTACTTTCAAGAATGTGAGCATGCCTCTTCTGGAAAAGCAACTTATCTTGTTTTCGTATGTCAACAAGATTTATGTATTTTGATGCTTATTCTACTAATAACACCGATCCCTGTGTAAACATTTAAATGCATATTTGAATCTGTTATTTGTTTATATAATCCATCTCTGTTCATGCCAGATAGTCTTTTGAACATAGTCGGCTAATGATGAATGATTATCTATTATAATTACATTAAAATATGCAGTTGTTTCAAGACCACTTGCATTATATGGATATTAAAGTCCCACATACATATGAATTTTTATTGAATAGCCTATCCAGTATTGTTGTGCGTAAGATATCAAAAAGTACTAGTGTTATATATTTGAATGGCTCCGTTCTAATATTATACTGAATCAACTTTTAGTATCAGCTGTCTGCCCAAACATTACCTCTTGCTTTCTCTTCCATAGATTAAATATGCTGGCTACTCTATCCGTTCCTCTTAGGAATTAGCTTCAAGATCTCTTATCATATTGGTATTTTTCCCCAAACCCACTCCAATTACTCCAACCCTCTTGGTCAAAGGTGTCAACCTTGATTTCATTGACGGCCACATCAGGGTTGTGTTTGACCCTGGAGGGCCATGGGTTGTGACCAGGATGGGCGTGGCCATCTCAATGTCACTCATCGAGGCTCTGTTTTGGCTGTGACAGCCTCCTGCTGCCCTCTGCCATAGAAAAAGAAGCTCGGGAGGCCGCACAGCCTCCCCAAGCTCCATTTTCACTGGCAGAGAGTTGCAGGAAACCGTCACAGCCCAAAACAGAGCCCAGGAGGGCTTCCTTTTCGCTGGCAGAGGCACCACAGGCCAGTCCTTTGCTATTTCTAGGGTGGGCTTGTGGGCCAGATTTAAGCACCCTTTCTAGGGTGGGCTTGCGGGCCAGATTTAAGCACCCTGAGGGCCGTATTTATCCTCCGAGCCTTGAGTTTGACACCCCTGCTCTTGGTGGATTTGATGCCCAGAACTGGACACAGTACTCCAAGAGCAGGGAACACCAGAGATTATAATGGAACTATTTACCTCATGATCTAGATCCGTGATGGTGAACCTATGGTACGCTTGCCACAGGTGGCATGCAGAACCATTTGTGCTGGCACGTGAGCCGCAGGCAAATTTACCTCACTGCGCATGTGCGCACCTCACTGCTGATTTTTGACTGGTTTGAGGCCTTTTTCGGCCTCCAAGAGGCTTGAAAAAAGCCTCTGCAGACTTTGCAGGCTGAAAAATAGGCCCGTTTTGTCCCTTCCTGTAATACTGCAAGTGACAAAACAGGAGCACTCCCACTACTAGATGCTCTGAGCAGCTCATAGGAGAACAGGCCTATTATTTGTCCTGCAAAGTCTTTTTTCAAGCCTCTGGGAGGCCAAAAAAGGCCTCAAACCAGCCGAAAATCAGCAGTGAGGCATAGTGCAGGTAAGGAACGGTGGGGGTGGGTGGTGGCGGAGGGGATTGTGCGTGCATGCACAGGGGGCATGAGAGGGCATGCATTGCCTTCTGAGTGCTGGCACGTGAGCGCACACACAATTTTTGGCACAGGAGCCCAAAAGGTTAGCCACCATTGATCTAGATATGATGTTTCTGTTAAGGCAGCCTCAGATCACACTGACCTTTAGCTAATACATTACTGGTAGTTCTTGACTTATGACTGATCACTTAGTCACTGTCCAAAGTTACAACAGACCCTCCAAAAGCTATTTATGAACCATTGTCAAAGTTCCAATCTCCAGCACCACCCCAATAACATGATCACATTTTGGGCACTCAGCAACCAGCCTGCATTTATTGGCATTTGCAACATCCAATTGGCATGATTTATGACCACAATTTCCAGGCTCAATTACAGTTGTAAACTGAGAACTGCTTGTATATTACTATTGCTGATGTTCAGCTGGTGATTTACTTGTTCTCATGCACACTGCCATCAGTCCAGGTCTCCTCCACCCTGTATTAAGCATTTGATTTTTCCCTACCCAAATGAAAGGTATCTTACTGCAGCAGGCCTTCTACTTATGGTATTTGTCCTAATCTTCAAGCTCATTACATCAGTGTAATTTTAGATTGCATCTTTTCTCTTTACAGCAAATAGTCCTCAACTTACAACCATTCATTTAGTGACCATTCAAAGTTACAGCACTGAAAAAAGAGACTTATGACCATTTTTCACACTTACAATCTTTGTGCTTGGCAACTGGTTCATACTTACGACAGTTGCAGTGTCCTGGGGCCATACAATTCCCTTTTGCAACCTTCTGACAAGCAAAGTCAATGGGGAAGTCAAGACTCACTTAACAACCATGTTATTAACTTAACAACTGCAGTGATTCACTTAACAAATGTGGCAAGAGGTCATAAAATGGGGCAAAACTCACTTAACAAATGTCTCACTTAGCAACATAAATTTTGGGCTTAATTGTGGTCATAAGTTGAGGACTATCTGTATATGGTGTGGCAGTAAAAACTCTTATGTCACTACAGCACCCCAAAGCATGAAATGGGAGCATAACCAGGGGACATAGAACAAATGGGTTTCTGAGAAAGATGGTTTGAAATCTCCATCCTGTGGACCCGGAAATCCTGCTCAGTGGTATATTCATTTCTTGCCTAGCTTTATCATATGGGAGTCCATGCAATTAATTCAATATCTTAGGTAATCGTGGTAGCACAATGTTTGTCAATCCCTACTTTAAAGTCTAAACCAATTTTTCCTAGCTTTCTAGCTGCACATCTGATTAATTTAGCAATCCAAATAAAATATGTACCTATTTGCTAAAGAACTTCTGAATTATGCTATGATCCCAATTTCTGAAATACCGTTCTTGAAGTCATTCTTGAGCATAAAAATATTTAGTTTTTAATCATTTATACTGTTTAACATTGTTTAATGTAGAGGAGGGTAAGCCATTCAGAGTCAGTTGATGACCAGAGTGACATATAAACCTAGTAAAACAAGTAAACTAAGTAAGTTTTATAATCCCAAATTTAGCAAAGAAAGCTAGGATGCCTGGATGGGAGTATGAAGCTAAGGAATAAGCAGAAAAACAAAGAATAAATGCGTAAACCCCTGTTGAAAATATTATTCCAGAACAGTCTTTTCCCACTTGCCCTCATTCAAAAATTGGGAACTGCAACATCCAAAGTTCCCACCTGTTTTTTTAAATATTGGCCAAACATGATTTTAATTGAGGAGCAAATATTTTCTCTTGTGTTTCCCCCCTTGCCAATTGCTGCTTACCTCCAACCTTACTTCTAGGGAGAAGGCTGTGCAGATTTAGATATGGATTGAGTGGAATCTTGAAGTCTTTTGGTGGCTCTCCTAGGAGAGAAACCTGAAAGGAAAACTGCAATAGTCATCTGGACTGCTGAATGTAGTATACTCCAATTAAGGCAAGTTACTTAAGTTTGGCCCTTGGTTTAATTACCTAAGTCACAACACATAAAATCTCCAAATTCTTAGTAATTAAACAAAACAAACAAAAAACAAAAATACCCTAGGGAGTTATCTTTAATTTCAGCTCTAAATTATTCCATGAAAGCAGTTATTTTGCATTCACTCAGATTTTAATTCCAAGTATAACAATAAAAACAAAACAAAAAATCCTTAAAATAGACCTGCAAGGAAAGGGGAGCATTAGCCAGTCACCAGGCAAAGAGTTCTGTCACAAAAAATAAGAATTTCTTGTCTGTCCTACTTCTAAATGACTGCAGTAAATAATGATAAAATTATGCCATTGAATAAATGCTCAGATTTTCACTAATATAGACAGATGCTGAATATTAAACTTGATGGCCCTACTTACATTAGTTAACTGAGGACCCTGAGGACTATTGTCTGATCTGTTATCAGAAGGTTTCTGAAGCCCACTGATCATAGATCCCAAAATGGAGGTAGTGAGACCCTGTAGGCCAGGTGAAGTAAGCTGAGGTGCCTGGGTTCCCATCGCAGCATTCTCCCTCTCCATTGCCAGTGGTCCCAAGAAAGATGGCACGGACAAGTTTGCAGAAGGCAAGATAGTAGATTTCACAGATCCTGGGGAAACATCAGCTGGCAAAGAACCACCTGGGAAAACATGAATCCAGTAAAGAGTATATTTCAAATGACAGCTACGAAAATTAGATAGTAGGGCTAACACATCTATCTAATTACTGAACAAATGATCATCATCGGATGGGGAGCATTTTAAGGAGCACTTAATAGCAAACCTTGATATCTTCCAGTCTTAATAAATCTCTTTAGAAGTAGGGGCTCCACAGGTTATTCATGAATTCCTTGGCAGCTTGCCAATACAAATATATAATAGTAAAACCTCAGTTTTACATCTCCACAAATAAAAGTATATTTCTAGTCAGAATCTATTCACCAATTCATAATCTATTCATAATCTACTTTAAGGCTAGAAAAGTCACCTAAATTTTTGTTTGTATTCATAGCTATTCACTGGACTCAGCACGATATTCTTTTTCAGACAGTTGAAAGACAGAAAAGGCAGGAATTTACAGAACTATAGCATCCTATAGAACTCCCCACCAATAGAACTTTCACCAAGTTTCTGAGAAGAGCAGCAAAAACTGTACTGAAATTGAGGGCAAAACCGAAACAAAAATATCAATTTCCATCTGAAGGACAACCTACCACTGTCTGTCTATTCAACTCAAATAAGTCACCTTTCAATTAAGCAAGTGAAAAGTTAACTGAGTGAGAAAACGAACCATTCCAACAGCTTGCTATGAGACTGCAAGAATCTTCTGCAATCTGTATCTTTGTTTATCAAGAATCCAAGAAAACCTCCTCACTTTCTACTGGAAACCCCTGCTTAAAGCCTACAGATTGGAAGCTTTTTTAATAGGACAACTACAACTAAGAACTTACCTGAGGACATCTCTCCTAATAACTGATTTCCGGCCTGAGAAGCTGGAGAGTTTGACATTCCCATAGTATTGTGCTGCAAGGAACCATGAGGAGACTCTCCCAAGATTCCAGGTTTCTGCAAACAAGTCAGAGGCTTCAACAATTGAGACTAAAGGATAGGTACACACATTAAAAATCACGCAAGACTAAACTATAAGCCTGCCAGAAGCAGCTAATGTCAAGCAAGGTAATGCCAAAAGTGAACTAAACAGAAAGAAATATAGCCACGTATCTGGGGGTGTTCTATGAGAGAGACAGAAACTGGATCCTGTAAACTTAGATGCTATGTAAAAATCTGGCAGGATGCTACTATGTCTTCACAAGTTTTGAAAAAAATAGAATACTTGGAGGAAGTAAGTGTCCTGATGATTTTCTTGTATCCATTTAAAATTTTAACTTTTGTGTGGAGGGAAAGACCTTGACTGAGTTTAGCTGCCACAAACAGTCTAAATTATAGTATTTAAACAGGATCTAAACAGACAAGATTCCACAGCACAAATGGTTAGTTTAGTATCTCAATTTTTTCACTACTTTAAAGGGTTAAACTGCAGTACGAATCCATTTTTTGACAGGCATACTGACATTTCAAAGGTCTAATTGCTATTTCCTTCCATTGCTATAATAATAGGTGCTTTCTATCTCAAATCCAAACTGTAAAGCTGTATCTAGATCCTAGGGAAGCTAGAATATGAAGAAAAACACAGAGATGCTTCTTGAATCCAATCCCATTAAATGTAATCCTACCCGGAGGCTCTTGGAAATAGATATGTATTAAACAGGTCTGATATTTTATGTCTGAAATTAAGAACAACAACAACCTCTTATCCCTTAAGAAGGGGGGGTAGAAATACTACATTTTTCTGAAACAGCGGCCCAAGAAAGATCAAAATATATAGAAGTTAGATCTCTTATTTATACTTGATTTATATAATGCACAATTTCTCAATGGTTCAGCTAGCTGATAGGACAAAATCTATCATCCCCGGAATCACAAAGTATCCAATTCTGACTACACAAAGCTGCACTCAAAGAGATACACAGATAATAAACCTACATCCTGAATTAAGATTGCCTTAGCATCCTTTGCTTTTTGAGGACCCATAATGGGCTTGTATTAAAGACATGCACAAAATTATAGCAAGAAAGCATGCTAGTTACTTAATCCTACTTTTAACATTAAATTCATAGGCTGCACTCTCTGAAATTAAAAGTTCAGTAACATGTTGTACATCTTCTGCATTGAGGCCACAGTATGGGAAAGACTGGGAAATGGTCACTGCAGTATACCTTTCACTGAGCACAAACACTACACACATCTCCACACAATCAGCATATTTCCACACAGAGACCAAGCCTAGCACTCACATGGAATATGGCCTGGTTTTCCTTGTTCTGCAGGAGCTGTGCCCAGACCTGGTTTTGGACTAAGAGCAAGTTTCCAAGAAATGCCTTCTGGAGCAGAAAGCACAGGAAGACCAGAAATAAGAAATAAATAACTAAAAGCTAGAAAAGCTATTGAGAAAGAGATAGTTAGAAAGCAAAGCTTACACTGCACTTTTTATATACATATATGCAACTGCCTAAGGACATCTTGATCACCACATGCAATACTGCAAACTGCTGTATTTTACACTAACGGCAAAACTTAATTGCAGCTGTTGAACATACAACTAGATTGCTTTGACTTGAAAGGCTAAATGACCACTATAAAGTTTGGTTATTCACACACAAACTCACGCGCACAAAACGTACTCCCAACTACAAAAGTAACTCTTGAGAAAGAACTGAGTCAAAAATTTGCAAGGAAAGGATATATTCTGTGCCTCATTTTTTTTTAATGTGAATGGTGGGAAAAGCAGCTATGTACAGCAATCATTCCATGACATGAAAAGTAATATTTTTTTATTTGTACCCTTGGAGAACAAGTCACCTGCTGTGCTTGGGTTTGATTTTGGAGTGCCAGCTGAAGTTGAGCTGTGAACAGAGCTGGGTTGGTTAGAAGAGATACTGCTGGTGGTGCTCCAAGGATTCCTGAAAGAAAATCAATATAGTTTAATTCATCCTATTAGGAAAAATGGCAAGGCAACCTACCAATATTGCAAAAAGTATAAGAGAAAGCAAATTTTGAAATTCTTAGTCATTAGAGGCTCATAATATCTTATTGAGTTTGGCTTTTGATGATTGAATTTGAAGGGCTCCCCCCCCCCCCTGCAAAAAAACCCGTTTCACTTAATGTTATTGCCTGATAGTATTGGCACATTTATTGATTGGCACAATCACATTGGGTAGCCTAACAAAGAGTTTTAGTAATATTTTGGCTTTGCCTAATAAAAATTAGAAACGTATACATTCGAAGAAAGAATGGCTTAATCTACTAAATCTAGGAAGGACTGAAATGCTTCACAAAAATGCTGTATGGCATAACTGATAACCAGGGGTGGGTTTCTACCAGTTCTGTCCACCTCTGTAGAACCGGTAGCTCTGAAGAGCAGCAGACATAGAACCGGTTCTATGTCTGCTGATGTTTTTGCCCACCCACCCGGGCTGTTTACCTGATCTTTATTTCCTGATTTTTCAACTTCAGCTGCCGAATGAGGCACAGCTGCAGTTAGAAAAGCAGGAAAAGAGGGTTTCAAAGGCTGCTTCTCTGCAGGCATCTGCTGATGATGATTTACAGGCGCGTGGCGCAGCTTGCAGGCAAGCTCGTAAATCCAGAACCGGTAGTTAACCCTGTGGTATCCCACCCCTGCCGATAACCCATGCTTTATTTTTCTAAGCCACATTACTTTTTAGCTTAGAACATCACAAACCAAGCCTAGTTTCTAAGTACGAAGTATTTATACCATACTGCTTTTTTTAACTCAGATGGTGAGAGGAAATCAAGCATTATCAATGGATTTATAATCTGGAAGCTTATAAATATCACATAGGTCAAGCCCCAAAGTAGCTTTCAGACTCAGAATTCTTTATCTGAACTTGCCTTGCTTTCCTCCAATGGCTCCATGAAGTAGGGGGTTGAGTAAGAGTTGGAGGGATGAAGGATTCCCCAGGCTGTTCAGAATCTGAAGAAGATTGGGTTCAGGTAGAAGCCCTTTACCACGGTTAAGTGCCTGAAAAAGAGAACAGCAGAATCAAAAAGGTATCTGGATTCTTTGAGAGAGAAAGAAATGTGCATTTGTGGCTCTTATATGTAGGAAGAGAGCATCCATGTGCAAGTTGAAGTTTTAATTATTACAGCAATGTGAAGCATTAGTCAAAATTTTGGTTATTTTAATCAATGGAAAAAACTTCTAATTCCTGCAAGATATATTATGTGTTACCTCTTAAGGGTGACTGGAAATATGGCTATCATTATGAAAATATTGGATAATACAGGTGACATATATAAAGAGTAGATCATGACTAAAAGACAACTGATGAAAAGAGGAGTGTTTTTTAAACTACAATGAAAATAAAGAGGCCTGTGTCATTCACCAAGATGCATAGCTTGCTCCAGGCCGAAATAAAATTATTAAAATAACAAACCATGACTTATGGCATTGATTAGCAAGAGACAAATTATATACAGAATCAGTACTGCAAGCTGAGACTTACTGTTGCCTGGGCAGCTATCAGAGCAGCTAGCATACTTCGTCCAGGAGGGCCCGGAGCACAGAAAGAGACTCTGATATGGTTCCCAGCAAGTAGAAAGCCATTGGTAGCCTGCTGAACCATCTCTGCTATCTCAGCTGACTCATATTCCAGGACTGCAAAGCCTTTCAGCTGCCCATCCTGACCACATGCCAGCTGTATGAAAGGGGGGAGGGGGAGAAAACAACACTATGAAAATGACCTAGTTATTTCATGTTTTTAATGGAATCAGCAAGTCTTCCTGAATTAGTCGGGAGAAATAAACGGGCTTTACATATGGCTTTACATATCTCATTAAACTATAATATTATTTATATTGATTGTTTTTGACTAAGCACACTGTTTGACCCAGCCAAAGGATCAGACAGCTGAATATAATCAATACCAATATAAAAGACATTTGTTCTGAAAAATGGAAGCTAGAGAGATTGCTCCAGACTTTCCTGGCTTAATGTCTCTTTTTGTCTTTTGGGTTTTGCAACTGACTTCCTCACTGCAAAAATATCCAGTGCAATCAAAACATTCCCCAGAAGACATGTATTTTGTTTAAATAAAAGATTAAGCAAAACATCGCAAGGAAATAAAAATGCATCTGAACTAGAGTATTGTCTCTTTCATCCTTTCCAACCCTGTTTTTTTTAAACCTTTGCTACTGAAATTACACAAGGGCTATAACTAAATAAAGTGCTGTATCACAGAAGCATTATGCACATAAAAGTTCATCTTTTTGTATGTAAATGCCTAAGCAAAACCTTCAATAGTTTCTTATTGAACATTCATACCAAGAATAATGCAACCAACATGTTCTGTACATCAGTCATTCAAATAAACAATTTGGCTTCTTTCATTCTGGCTCATGTATGTGATAGGTAAACCATAGTTTATGACATAACATGTAGGTTCATCCCTAGTCTGGTTATTCATGTAGCAGATTTTGTCCATATTGTTATTATTAGGTGGCCATAAGGGTAACTGCAATAACATTATCTGTTCAAAAGTTGTTTGGCAAACATACACCAATTAGAGGGAAACAAACCTGCAAAATCCATGGCATCCCTTAAAAATGAATCTATTTAAGGATTAATTTCTAACTCTACTGTTCAATGAAATTCTTGAAAAGGGGAAGCAATTGCTAAGAATTGGAAGATCTAAGGAATATTAATTTCTACAGTCACCCAATCATAGGCTTCTATGAAATACCCCATCCATTAATATGTGTCTCTCTCGTCCATATACCAATATACTCTGTTGGACCTCAGCATCATGTGATTTTTGGGTTCCTTTTAATAATGAAAAACATGTCAGAGCTGAGATATAGGTGGTGATTTTGGGGTGGAGATCTTTAAATTATATCAGGCCCATTTTAGTGTTATTCTATATAGGTGTATTTGATTAAATTATATGCCATCAAGCCGTTATCAATTCTTAGTGATCAAATAGCTAGATTTTCTCCATGAAAATTATGTATATTTCTTTGTTGATTCTTGAACATAGCGCTGCCAAAATCTGATAAAGCAATGAATGCAAACGGCATGAAAGAAATTTGTAAACTGAATGTTCTCACCAATTTTATAGCAGAAAGACTTTCAACTATTGAGAAATACACATTTTCCTTAAGCTTAGAAAATTCCAGATGTTTAAGAAATTAGGACAAAGAGAAGAAGCTAGCTTCCTTATTGTACGGGGGTGTACATTCTGTTGCATTCATAAGAGCAATCCATATTTAATTATGACAAGATAAGCAACACAACTTAGCATCTTGGGAAAAGGAATCTACATAGGGAAAGTGACTCCCTATGGGATGCTACATAGATACCAGAGAAGCAGCCTATTTCCTCCACATCTAAGATCCTTACCTGACAGAATGTTGGAGGGCAAATGGCAGAGAAGGTCTGCCTTAGTTCTTCAAGATCACTATAATTGTGGGGCAATTTATCTACACATAGACATTTTGAGTGAATAAGATCTAGAGTCAACTGGTTGACATCTGTCCAATGAACATACAGAGTCCGTGTTCCCAGCTGTTTGCCCAACAGGTCAGACTTTGCTCTGGCTGCTGAATCCTTTTTCATGTATTCCACAAAACCATAACCTTTCGAGTGTCCACTTTCCTCACTGTATACCAAGAAGCAACGCTCTAAGTTCCCAAATGGTCGAACCAGGTCTTCAAACTGCTGCTGTGTATAGAGGTGGGGCAGATTGGCAATGCATAAGAGGGCATCTGTGGGTTGTAGTTGCACTGTAATCTCCTTGTCTCGCAGCGTGCTCAAGTGAAATTTCTTAATGGCTGATTCTGCCTGTTCCCCATTCAATAAGGTGACGAAAGCTACAAGAAAAGAAGGATATAAAGACAATTGGCAAAATGCTCCACAGCAAACATATAAGCAAAGTTCTCTTGAAGTTTTCTGACAGAACATTTACACAATTATAAGCAAATGGTCTTTGTCGACTAGTCAGAAAAAAAATCACTTTGTGTTTTCACAGTGGCTGGACAATAAATGCTTTCAGAAAGTTGTTAAGCATGGCTGTTTTTTTTTCTTTTGCTTTCCTCCCCCTAGTTCTTTATTTACACATCTCCATGATAATGAAAGTGAGAGTAATGTAAGGATCCAGATACTGATCAGGTCAGGTTAATTTCAAGAAGGCAATTATGTTAGAGCAGTGGTCGCCAACCAGTGGGCCGGGGACCACTGGTGGTCTGTGAGAAAATTTTGGTGGTCCGCAGAGAAATGTCACCCCCAAAGCAATTAATCCAGGCTGCACAGGAACACAAGGCTGTGCCACCCACATGGCCCATGGAAACACAAAGCTTGTATCGCTTGCATTGCGAACAACATGAGGTAGTGAGGGGAAGGGGGAAAGGGCGGAGTGGGGGGACTTGCCCCATGCACCTGGCCTGACCACCAGGCTGCTTCTTTCCACTTCTTTCTTCTGCTTTTGGCTGCACACAAGGAAAGCAGCAAAAGTCTTTCTTTCTCTCCCCCAAATTCTGTCAGAAATGAGTCTTTGGGACCCTGCAAGGCCTCCTGCTCTGAGAGGCTGTGCCAGCAAAGACTCATTTTTGGCAGAGTTTGGGGAAGAGAAAGAAAGACTTTTGCTGCTTCTGCTGCTTTCCTTGCATGGAGCCAAAAGTCTCTCTCTCTCTTTCTCTCCCTGAGAATGGAGCTGGAGACTGTATCCTGCGATCCCAAATAAAGAATGTTTGATCAGTAGGAAAACAGGGCGGGGAGTTTTCCTGCAGACTTTTTTGGGGATTTTCCCAGGGTCTCTGGTCCACGGGATTTAAAATGATGAATTTGGTGGTCCCTGAGGTCCAAAAGGTTTGTGAACCCTGTGTTAGAGAACTTTAATCTGCTGCCTCCATTTTGTCAACTCAGACTTCTTGTAAAAACTTGTTTTTACACTTGTTATTTTGTAAAATAAAGAAACACTAACAACATATATCAACTGTCAGCATTGTACTAAGCTGGGCATGGATCTTTAAAGATTGTTTTCTTCTCTCCTAGCACTTTATGTTTTCCTAGTTTTCAAAGGAGAATGCCACTGTATAAGAGGATCTGTTTTTTTTAATTCACAGATGTCAAATTCTTCACTTTCTATAAATTATTCTATCAAAGGCCTTTTTGATATAAGCAAAAGTACATGTTTTTCTTCTATTGTTTATCATTATACTAGATTTTAAAAGCACTTGAAAGCAAAGTCTCAAGGATTATGAAAATGTACTAAGACAAGCTCCGCTCATCTTTCTGTGCACTTTTCAGTAATGTGTCATATTAAACATACCCGAAGTACATTTCTAGTACCTTTTTTTTAAATTGATACATCATTATGGACACCAACAAATTTGGAATCTTAATCTGAACTTTTTCTTAGAGCTAGATATATTTATGTCATTATTTTGGGAAGAAAATATTCATCAAGCAATTTTAAATCTATCTACAGAAAGGCAAAAGACAGGCTCTTTTAGAATGCTAACCTCAGAAACTGCATCCTAATGCAATCCAAGTAGATGAAAAAAGTAGCAGTCGTGAGCTACAGATAACTTGTTCCTACCCTGCATCTCAATAAAGCATTTAACCACAGTTAATTCTGTTTACAAGCAAACTTTTTATCAGGAAATGCATGCATTTGTGCTTTATTGATGTAATTAATATATTAATGCATCGAAATAACTCAGCTTCTGAGAGGGAGAACAGTGCTTTTTCAATTTAGTGATAAAAACTCATGCAGAATACAAGACAATTTTACCACAGAGTTTTTGTTTTTTTTCAATTTTGCGGTGGGCATAGCAGACAATATTTAAAAATACTCTTCCACTACAGATACCTGGCTCATACTACCATATGTGGTGGACTTGTGAGGACGCTAGAAAATATTGGACTAAAATACGCATATGGTTGGAAAAAATGACAAAGACACATATAGACTTGAAACCAGAGATTTTTTTATTGGGAATCTTACCGGATATATATAATAAAAATTTGAAGTATCTGATTGTAAATATATTAACAGCGGCTAGGATTGTATTTGCTAAGAACTGGAAGAGTGAGAAAATTCCATCAGAAGAAGAAATTATTAAGAAAATATTGGATTGTGCTGAAATGAGCAAATTGACATTTGAAATCAGAGAACAAGAAGATAAACAATTTTATGAAGTTTGGGATCTTTTTTATCAATGGTTAGATAATAAAACATAATGATAGAATATTCAGATTTAGCATAAAAAAAAATTTTTTTTCTTAATATTATCTTTATAAAACATTATTAAGGTAGATTTGGTATGATCTTATGATTTATTGCAAAATAAATTAAGCAAACTATAGTTATCTCGTTAAAATATGAATTAACAAAATTAAAAATGATTTTTTTTTTTTTTTAGTGATGATATTAGGTTATACAATTGTTGATTGATAATATGAGCTATTATGTAATATAATTATACTGGTGACTAGGAAATGGATGCACAAAAAAAAGTGGTAAACCAATCGATGCACTGTATGTAAATTTATGAAGAAGGATCTTTTTATGTTTTTTTGTGGTATGTTTATGTTTATTTTGTTATGTATGTTTATGTTTATTTTGTTATTAAAAAATAAAAAAAAATTATTAAAAAAAAAAATACTCTTCCACTACCATTAACTTATTTCTAACATAACACAACTGCTCTTAAAACCATCCAGTGTAAATATTACCCAGAAAAGCTATGTAATCTGTGGATATTTTCCATGGAAAAACTAGAAGGATATTCATCAAGAAGAGGGTATTCTGCCTTAGAGTGGGAAGATCCAGATATATTTTTCATGACATTCCAACCCTCAATTCATAGCAAAGCACTTTATAAAGGCAATTTTACTCACCTGTTCCTTTGTATTTGTCCACAAAACAGTACTTAAGTTCGTAATCACTCAAAAGTTCATGTATTTCCTGCATAAAATTAACAAAATAAATCATACTGAGGCAAAAATATGAAACAATTGCTTTTTTTTTCAGTTAAATGACTTCCTGTCATCACTCCCTTTTCAAAAGTCCATAGAAGACTGTCAAGTCAGAGCACTATTGCTAACATATTTATAGTAAATGTTACAGAAAGATATCCACAATGTTGGCAGAAATTATGTGAAAGCATAGTCAGTACTTTGAACAATGACTACTTCCAAATACATACAGATTTGAATAAACAATGATTAACAGAGCACAGAAATTCAGGTAGCCACAAATGTGTTAATCATCTCTTGTTAAAGAGAGCACTACACCAGTGGTAATTTTTTTAAAAAATCTATTTGGATCAGTTCAAATTATGACTGCATTTTACTACTGACTCAGCCATCAAATATACATTTGTTTTTAGGATTCTCAGTGTCTAAAACAAATAAACATATTATTAAAGAAGTTGTTTTAATCAATGTATTATATTGTAAGATAAACTCAAATGCTATTTCCAAATCTATATATATATAAGCGAAATACCACTCACGCATCATCACAAAATCTCTAGAACCATAAAGCCTACAAACATGAAATTTGGCACATATGCTCCTCTTGGCTTCTAGGTGCTCACTAAGAAAGGATTTTTCTAAATGACCATCAGAGCATTAGCTATTTCCTATATTATTATTAACACGCTCTGATGCTAAGAAATTCTACTCCAGCTCCTCTGTTCCAAATGCAAAACACAAGCAGAGGAAAGGAGTTTCAGTTTCAGTTTTAGTTTCACAGAAGCAACCAGCTTTAGTACAGAACAGTTGAGCTAAGCCACTCCCAGGCTCCTTGATGTCTCCTTCTTGCTCACACAGCAAATACTGTTTCACTTTCTAAACAGCCCTCAATTCTCTCACACACTGACAAGATGCTAGCCAGATGAATATCGATGGATGCTGGTAGGCAGAGGCAGAATTTTTTCCTCTCATTTTCCTCCCCCAAAACTAAGCCCAACCACATAGTTTCATAGTGAAGCATGAGTATTGAGCTAGCGCCTTAATAAAACTGCAGTCATTCAGTTTTCTCCAACATTAATTATTGCTGCATAATACTTTTATCTCAGGGGATTTGGTAGTTCTACTTTTTGAATGCTGTCCTTTATCTGCCTTCCCAAGATTAATATGAATCTTGCATAAGATTCATATTAATTTCATATGTAACTCTCTTAAAATACAGCATCCACTATTTGCTATATTATTTTCTATGCATTTTGTGCTGTCGAAATACAGATACTATTGTGGGATGGTCCTTCCTAAAAAGAACATTTAAATTGAAACATCAACTTCTTTTTAAGGTTGCAGCCAGATAGAAAATGTATAGTTTTCAGAAAAATAACAAAATTGTGAAATAATATTTCTTTACTTTCACATTAAACCTGAGCTATGATGTAAATAAAATATATATCCTGATAGTCTGAAAGGGAAAATACTGTCTTGAAACTGTTTTTGTCTGAAGCATTCCTTAGACTCTTCATAATATTTAGCATAATGCATTCCAATACAAAGGGAGCACATTTAAAGTGGAATATGAGGACCATTTTCATGCTAAGTCACCAATGTTTAGATTTTGTGATAATGTAAGGTCAAATATAATTTTCTGAATATAGATTGCTGGAGTGCAACTATGTCATATTCTTTGCAGCTATTCTTTGCAGCTATTCTGACCCCACTTTTTTTCCAGGAAAAGCTGTGGGGGAAAAAAAAGCAGTTGAAAGCCCTGGATAGCTACTGCCATGTTAACAGTGTTGTGTTAAAAAGATTAGTAATCTGACTGATTACTATGAAGCATTCTAAGAGTTCCTCTTTTTGTACATCTGTTAAATTATCTTCATTGCCTTAATAGGCCTCACTCAAAGCTTTGTAGGGATTCTTGATATCTCTCATTTGAGACTTGTATAAAACTTCTGTCATTAGTTATTGCCAAATAACTAGAATTTTCTTCTATTGTAAAAGCTTCTAAATATTATTGAATGTCCCCTTCTCCCTATCAGGAACAACAACAAAATAGCCGCATAACCATGTTTTGGTGTACAATCAGTGCACAAGATACAAGCACAGACCATTCTGCAAAATTAAGAACCCTAATTATTTTAAATTTAGATTTAACAGTAACTCTGCTGTTTGAAATACTGTGTATTATCCAAGTCTGCTGGTTTATCTTTTAGGAACTGATAATATTACAGTTCTTTGAATGGGAACTGCTTAACTACGACCAAAGATTAGATGTACATTAAAATGGAAAAAAGTGTTACTTTCTGCTTTTGAATTGGCTAATGGCCTTCTGTTTCAAGATTGAAATTTATTATGGCACTCATACAGGAACCGGCTCAGTGGGAGAAGCTACAGTATTTCTGCACAATGTAAAAGTTTTGTCCTTTGGTTCCTCTTTAGGTGGCTTTTGTAGCTGTTTAAAGTATTTCTGAATCAGAATATTTCTTTGAACCTTAACCAATAAGCTAAAATTAGCTTCCATAACAGTCATACTAAAGTAGAGATATTTACAGATTCTAATCTAGACATTGCAGCAAAGCAGCTTTTGATTTTAAAACAGATCCCAAGAAATGGGAGAGGGGAAATATTAACAATTTACAGTTCCACTGTTTTGATTATGTTAATGTTATTCTACAATCCTTATAAATGTACTAACTAATATTAAGAAAAAATACAATATTAATCACATGCTGAACGTTTATTAATGTTAATGACTAGATTAGATCTGTGCTGAAGAGATTTGCCTGTAACTTTGAAATTAAAGATGAACTAAAACTAACTCTTCAGAATACTGGTAGGATTAAAGTAAAGAAACTGAAAATAGGTAAAGTTAGAATTGTCTGCTATTCTATAACAATTTCTAATTTAAACCTAAAACATTATTTAGATTTTTTTAATTTAAAGGATCAAAAGATACTTTGCTATAAAGTCTTATTTTAATTTCTGCCCGGTTTTGAGGATCACATTTATTACTGTATAATATAGTGGTTATCATTGTCAATTAAATCAGATTATATGGGAAACCCTCATTTTATAAATTGTCCAATATTCCATTTCAACAACTTGTTGGTAAAATTTGACCCTATCAAATATTTTTACTGCTTGGTTAGGATCTCTTAATTTCTAAGTTCTATTGCTTAGTGTCACAAAGTTTCTTCTAGAATTGTCTTTAATTGTAGTTGCTTTTCCAAAAGCACAAATAATACTGTGTCCCACAGAGTTGCGCTAAGCTTATGCATGCACTGTGGTATTGTTTCAAATTTTCTGTAGGAGACATATTTTAATTATGTTTCACAAATGTCCATTTATGGGGTGGATTTCTCTTTGAAGCATTTTTTTTCCTGTGTCTAAGTTATGAAGAGGAGACAATTGTTTTGAAGAAATATGGGGAGTATGACCTTGAGTGAGTTTAACTTATTTATCTGTACTGTCCCATTTGGCATGTGCTTCAATTGTGCAGTTTAAAGTTCATAAACTGTCTGAGCAGAAAAATGTTAGCACCTGACTATATGGCAAAACACCTGCTGATTGTATAATTTAGTACATAAATGCAGGTTGTAATATCATGCTTAGTTCTGACTGTATTCATGTGTCAAATATTTTGTCACAATTGGTGGCTTCTGAGGTTGCTTATTTTTTCAACAAAAAATGAATTATAGTTTCTACCACTTGACTATAGTCAACTCCCCCCTCCCAGTTTCCCCAAATCACCAATTTTAAGGTAATAAGATTTTGTGGTTAATAAGTGCAGAATGAAATATTTAAATTTGCAGTGCCATTTCATCTATAAGTGGTTTATCAGATCTGGGCTGGAAAAAAACATGGATCAGACGACAGCAAAGAGGTATTAAAAAACAACTGTTTCTAGTGGTTGCTGAATTTCTGTAATATTAGAGTACTGTGAACACTAGCTACAGTTACCACTTTTATTCCTGAATAATAACAGTTATTCTACTGATTTAAAACCAAACTGAAAAATGTATAGTGATTATATGCAGGTACTATCTTGTGATGTTCATGATCAAATTCAGTTTATACTTTTTGTAAGGAATTCATGCACATTTTTGCTTATCTTCCTTAAGTTTTCTTCATTTTATTTGATACTAGACAATCCTGTAGTGTAACCCATTTGGTTATCCTTTGAGAAAGAGGTCTGTGACCAGAATGAACATTGCATTTTAGACTTTTTTTAACCCAATGCTGAACAGTCCCATGATCATCTAAGAACAGTATATATCATCAATAGAAAAAATAATTCTAGTGGCAAACTAACTTCAATAATGTCAATATTTATTTACCTAAATACATAAAAAGGATGACCACAGGAAGGCAAAATAATAGTGGGAGTGGAAAGAGTTTTAACTTCGTGTCAGATTCCCTTTGCTTGTGAGACTTTGCTTGTGGGAAGGTGGCAGGGAATGTCAAAAATCACATATGACCTCAAGGACACTGCAGCAGTCACAGTAAATAAAATCAGTCAGAACATCATAGAAATTTCAATTCTATGGGACTAATGAGTCCAAGATATTTTATGCATTCTTTAAGTTAGTGGATTTTAGATACCATGAAGGGACAAACACAATGAGAATTTTAATACCATATAAAAAATAGAACTGGTATCTGTATCTGCTCTGGAAGCTAACAAATTTTGATTTGTCTGACATAAAAAGTAAATTCTAGTTTCATAATGATACAGAAGTGGTTTGTGATTTCCGGTTCTACCTTCACAGTAAAAATAAATTTGAAACAATTGACCCCTGTAATTTTATTTGTGATCAACTACATTTTATTTGTTTAGTATTTAATGTCTAAACATTAACAAAATATTGGTCAACTAGCTCAATACCCGTGCTTCACTATGAAACTATGTGGTCGGACTTAGTTTTTGAGGAGGAAAATAAGGAGGGGTGGGAATTCTGCTTTTGCCTATAGCATCCATCAGTATTCATCTGGCTAGCATCCTGCCAGTGTGTGAGAGAGTTGAGGAAACTGAAACAGTATTTGCTATGTGAGCAAGGAGACAGCAAGGAGCCTGGGCGTGGCTTAGCTCAACTGTTCTGTACTAAAGCTGGTTGCTGCTGTGAAACTAAAACTGAAACTGAAACTCCTCTCTTGTGCTTGTGTTTTGCATTTGGAACAGATTTCTTTTCAGGTGGGGAGGGGGAGTAGAACTCCTTAGCATCAGAGCGTGTTAATAATAATGTAGGAAATACTAATGCTCTGATGGTCATTTAGAAAAATCCTTTCTTAGTGAGCACCTAGAAGCCAAGAGGAACATGCATGCCAAATTTCAAGTTTGTAGGCCACAGTAATTAATCACTGCCTTAAATTTTTATTTATTTATATCCTGCTTCTATTATTTTTATCAACAACTCAAGGGAGCAAACATATCTAACCACTCCCTCCTCTTTCTTATTTTCCCCACAACTCTGTTAAGTGAGCTGGGTTGAGAGAATGTGATTGTTCCAAGGTCATCCAAGTGGTTTTCATGCCTAAGGCTGGACTAGAAATCACAGTCTCCTGGTTTCCAGGCCAGAGAATGTAGAAGAATTAAAGCCAGTGTGGAAAGCAACACACTAGCACACTTTCCATTCAAAGACTGACTTGCCAACTTTAATAGACAAAAAGTTCCAGCATTTGAAGCAGACTCCGAGCCAAGGTAATCTATATTTTGCACTCAAGAAGAATACTTTTGAAGTCTTATATCACTACAAATTAAGTTATACAGTATTCCCAATATTTTTTTATTCTGTATTTTTCCCCAGAGGTTCACTAGTCATAATCAACAGTTAATTTACTTGCCCTTTTCCAACATCACAAGGCAGACATATATAGAATTCTGCATCAACTACAGAAGGATATTCCTCATTATAAAAATTCTTATCAAATTATTTTTAAATCAACATACCTCAAAAATGTTTTGAACACTTATAGAATGTGTCCAGCATTTTATTATAGCTTCTCTATATTTGTGTCCAGTGGAACACAAAATTAAAATAAAGATATGGTAGCACTGAAGAGCTACCATGTCACAATTTCTCATTTTTCTGGTTCCTGAATAGCTTGGAACTTTGGAAAACTGATAAGATTCTATTATTAATTTGTCAGAGTAAACATAGAATCTAAATACATTTCCACCTGTAGCTACAGTCAGACCAAACTAGTAACAGATTGGATGAAGGAAAATTTATGCTTTATTTAGAAAAGAAAGACATGCTTTCAATTAATCAAATGCAGATTAAAGCTATTAGTTAGCTTAAATGCCATTCTAAAGGAAAAGATAAAAACAATAAATTAGCACTTTTCCTGGTTCCCAGCAACTAATCTCGTATGCAATCTATTTCAAGCTTATTTGTATATTAGGGGTTTTTTTTACAACATAGGAGGAAAAACTAGTGTCTGGGCAGCCACATATTAATGTCAGCATGAAGGCCTCTCTAAGAGAAGGAAACAGAGTTCATCCAAAAGGAACAGAAATAGAAAGTTACAGTCCTAGTACTCTACAGTATGTTACTATATCACATTAAGCAACGATGCTGGAAGTATTCTTCAGGGTTAAACTATCCTGTCCTTCAAATAAATGTAACAGTCATGGTTTGTTTTGTAGAATTATAAACTTTACTGAGCCATGGTGGCTCAGTGGTTAGAATACAGTATTGCAGGCTAAATCAGCTCACTGCTAGGAGTTCGATCCTGGCTGGCTCAAAGTTGACTCAGTTCCATCCTTTCGAAGGATGGTAAAATGAGGACCCAGATTGTTGGGGGCAATATGCTGTCTCTGTAAATTGCTTAGAGGCAGCTGTAAAACACTATGAAGTGGTATGTAAGTCTAAGTGCTATTGCTATCGATACTGTCCTCAGCCAACTTGGCTTGATTTTTGCAATATGCACGTAATAATGAAAGTCTTACCAGCATTTTCAGCATAACTTTTTAAAACATCTGGTCCTGATTGACCCAACTTCAGAATGATAGAATTCCTATCTTTCTCTTCTCTTACTTTTTGATTTTCAGTAGCAGCTTTATTAAAAACCAGAATTTCTGGAATGTTTTATAAATGGGACTATTTGGGGGGGTGGGGGGAGAGAAACTGACTCCTTCCACTGGGGGCAATGACGACTTCATCAGATTGTGATCAGGAGGCACACTTTTGCTGTAATTCTGTTCTTCCTTTGGTGACAAGATTTTTTTTTAAATGCTAAGGAAAACATTAGAGAATGGCTATTGTTAGGTTCACTGCTGTCCCTTTTTGTTATTCAGTATCAATATGAAACCACTGAAGATTACCTAGGTTTGTGATATGATGTTTCTTTTCCCTTTATTTCAGAAAGGGTTCTTGTGCAAAGGATTTTACTACTAAAGTACTACATTAGCAGGTTTTCGGTTAGATTTGATTCTAAGCAAAATTTAAGATGCTGATAATTTAAAACTAGACTGACAATGACCTATTCTACTAGATGATTCTATGGATCATAAAATCAAGACCTTTTATCAACATCTCCTGCCATTATTAGAGGTTTGTTTGGAACATGGAAGAAATCTCTTCTCCAAGGAAGATTGCAATGATTGTTTTAAATGAGAAACAAGACATTCTGGGTTATGTTCATCTATACTTTGCCAGGTCTTGGACAGATTTCAATTTGTTTGGTGACCAGTTTTCTTAGCTTGAAGCACACCACATGATTCATTCAGCTTTTTTCAAATGCTTATTATTTGATGGAAAATATAAATTAGCCTGCCTCATGTGGATACTTTCCAGATATTTGGGCTTCAACATAATGCACCATCTTTCTGTAAGCTGTGATCTCGTCTAAGAAGGGAAATTCTAGGACTGGGTTTGCTCATCTTAAGCCAGTTTGCCTAACCATATTTTACTGACTAAATTACAGTTGTTAATTTCTTAATATTCCCTAAGTCATAAACTATAAATCACTGTCTGGGTTCACATATATTCTAAACCCAAACCAAACAAGCCATATTATATTCAAGATAAAAAAGGGGGCTATACATTTGTTCTTGCTTGACAACCCCCTTGGGGCCACCCTCTTGATCTCAGCTGTTCCCATAATATCCTAGCACCTGATATTACAATTTCAGTTCAATGAAAGGGCTATTAATCTTCTGACACAATTGATTGTGTAGAGTCTTTCTATTTGTTTCTCAATCAGTCTGTTTCTTAAAACTCTAAGCCATACAATATTTGGCTATGACTGTCCTTATATAGACTTTAAGATGTTCTATCAACTCTCCTTTGTTGAAAAGGGGAAAAAAGTTGTTAAGAGTAAAATTTTAACTAACTGCTTGTGAGAACTCTACATAAATTGTATATTAAAATGTATAACCAAATATAAGTTATTAAAGAAGCAGATCTACTTTACTTCCTGGCCACTGAAACACCATTTAAATTCTCTGGTTCTTTGTCAAAGTGATCTGCTATAAATGTACTACTTCCTTCTATAGTATTCTATTTTCCTCATTCCCTGTATCATATTCTACTACTGTAGAGTAAGTACTTTCATGTTTCATGTCTTTTGTTAAGATTGTCACAACCAGTTTAATTGTATATACAGAAAGGCCTTCAGCAACATATAATATAGTGTTGCATAAGCATTTGTCTAGTAAATACTTCCTTTTGTTTCTGATTTAACTTCACTGTATGATATCAGCTCATTCAAGTATCTATGAAAAGCAGTGCAGTACATTTCTCTACCACTCTCTGGACTGCAGCAGTTAAACAGGTATGTATCAGTTTGTTTGTTGCCAAAACTATAGTCTATTGTTATCTTAAAAACCAGCAGATTTATTATTACAGAGTTACACGGACAAAAGGTCACACAGAAGATACATCACACATTATTTAATTAGAGGATAGAGAGCCACAGAAAAGAGAGAACTGGAAAAAAACCAAATACTAAGTATAATGAAGCAGCCATGGGTATGAGTGGGTGTGTCAGTTCATCTACAAAGTTCAACTAGATATAAACGTGAACTATAGTTGCAAACACTGATCAGTGATTATTAGTAACTAATTGTAATCAAGTTTTGATTAATTCATGTTTACTCTCAAATGCCATAATCAATACATTTTGCACTGAACAGTTTACAAGTTTTTGTAGATATGTTTACATGCATGCAGTAATTCAGACATGATTTGCGAACAGGCTATAATACTGGAAAGAACTAAGAAATTGCTGGATCTAAGATTTGTGGATCACTGATTTTATCATTGACACCTCAATTACATGAAACACTAAATAGATTTTATTAAAACCAAACTGAAAAGAAAGCAGCACGCATGCACACATACATCCACCGCCATGCCGAAGTAAAACCGCATGATAAAAGCAACACACACATTTGCAACATGCTAAAAAGTCATACATTTATTGCGGCGTAATCTTTCAAAGACCAAACCCTGGCTTATCACAAGCTGGAAGTTAAATACAGTAAAGTGAGGGCAGAGTTCACAACAACTGCTCCCCAGAAATAAGGAAAAAACGCAAAAGAGAGAAAAAAGTATATTTTGTTTTCTGTCAATGTCGAGACAGGACGTAGCAACAGGAATCAGTGCCGGCAGCTGCTGTGCTTCCTTATCTTCTCACCTGCTTGTTGGATCGGATCCCACTCAAACATCCCCCTCCACCACGCCCCAATTCACCTTCCCTTCGGTTACCTGGTTGGCGACGTCGGCAGGCAGCCCGCGAATGAGCACCTTGCGTCGGTTACGGAATTGTCGGGCGCTTCTTTCTAGGCGACCCGCTATTTCGGTCGATTCCAAGGGCGGCAATATCTCTTCAGGGGCGTTGGCTGAGCCTGCATCTGGGCCTGGGAGCGACCCAGAAGAGGCGGCTGCCCCATCTACCACCCCACCAAAAGCCCCTATTGCCGCCATCTTGGGAAGCAACTGCCCCCTTCCACCTCCACCACCTCACAAGCTAACAACCAGCGGCGGAGGGAGGTGGGAAAGAATGGCGTCAGTCTCATACCAGCCCCGCCATTGGTCCTGGAGTTCCCCGCCCAACTCCCGGACAGCCGTTAGATGGGTTGTCCAATGAAAAGCTTGAGTGTGAATTAACCCTTCGCAGAACCGAGCAGAGTGAGGTGCTCGATCCCGACTGGTCCGGGGCCGTGTTCGCTGTTTAGCGGATTTTGATTGAAATTTGGGCAGCAGCAAAAGGGGTCAGAGAAATAAAAGTGCGGGAGGATTGGGCGGAAGTGAAAAGGGAAACATAGCCGCTCGTGTTCGGACAATTTTGTGCATCATCTAAGTTGCCTGGAAGGTCAGCCGTATTCGTTTTTGCAGAAACACCGAGGCCCGTGATACTTTAGTGACTGCTGTTCGTTAACACGCAACAAGACTATTAATTATGGGAAGGAAATAACAATACATCTTCGGTATATTAAGATATAGGGTTATTTCGAGGAAGCATAACTATTTAATAGATCGAATTATATAGAGTGGCATAAAAATCCGGATGGCGACTAGATGGCAGCAAAGAAAAAATATCTAGCGGTCTCGATTTTTGCTGAAATTATAGTAGGTACCTCCCATCCATTACTCCTCATAAAATCACTAAGAATCCGGTTAGACTTGGAGAATGTAACTTATCTGAACTTTGTTTCGATTTTTGCACGCCATAATTTACGTTCAACATTACATGATTATAGTTTTCAGGGTTTTTAAAATAACTGGACTCCTCAGGAAGTACACTGATACTGAAAGTGAGATACTGTCATACATATCATGTCATATTGTATCAAGTATATATTTATATAAAACATCTGTTTGGGTTGAGCTAATCAGATCACCTGGAGTTCTAGTTATAATGAATTCAGAAACAAATTGTTCAACCTTCTCCAAACCATTTTGTTTTCTGGTGGTATTACATTTAAGTTGGTGATCTAGACTAGGCAAACTTCGAATATGCTTTTAATAGAAAAGTTAAAACAGGATACTTGAGATCTTAATCAGCATAAATAATAAAATAATTCCCAAATAACAACAATGAGATTGTCATGAGGCAAAGTAATAATTCAGGGTTGGTTTTTGGTATGTGTATGCATATGCATGCCTTTGAATCAGTCTCCATGCAGTTTTCTTGGCAATATTTGCAGAAGTGATTTCTCATTGCCTTCTTCCTTGGTTGAGAAAGTACTTGGCCCAAAGTAATTCAGATGATTTTAAGTGTTCAAAGCAGGACTAAACTCAAGCTTTTCCTTATTCCTGGTCCAGGTCCTCATCCAACAGACCGAAGTAATGAGCTCTTGCTCTCAAAAACCTTCTCTGTATTGTTACAATATTAAAGTAAATGATGTCAAAGGAAGCACAATACCTCGGTATTACTTTCTAAAATTGATTACTCAAAACTGAAGTGGAATCATCAATGCATTCTCACATATCCCACCTCAGGAAGCATCTCCAGAAGGAAAGATGAGATATTATTAGAAACTCAAGAGAACCAGCTAGGTTAGATGAATTTTGTTTTTCCCTCTCCCAATGCAGAATTTTCTCACAAAAGCTAGCAAGAACCATATCAAATGTCACCCATAAATATTTTAACTGTTCAGTACCAGTAACAAATCAATACTCATTAAGCAAATGTTAGTGTGTATAGCTTTTTGGATCCAAATTAAGTTTTTTTTTACACACTCCCCCCCCCACACACACACACACTGACATCCAGCAGTTAGGCAAGTGGGACAAGCATAAAATTCAGCAGAATTTGCCCAAACATCTCATCTATGTCCTTGTAGTTCAAAACTGAAATACATCTAACTAAGCTAGGCGGGTTTTGAAGGAACATGTAATATGGTTTGATTATGAACCATTCCGAAACCAGCACAGCCTTTTTGACTTCAGAACATGAAACATTTTTTAAAACTTTATGCCAAGTATGAAACAAACTGGTTCTTCTGAGAAACATATATTTGAAAGTGCAACTTGAAACCATTTCTTCCTTAAAATAATCATTTTGACTTTTCCAGTACAAAGCAACATGTTTGGAGGGTACAGTGAGCATAAAAACACATTTTCTATTTCATGTTCATCCTAATTTTTTTGTCGCACAATTTCTTCATTGCCTCATTGACAATGGGTAATTCAAATATGCTATTCAAACTTCGACAGCATTGTTGCCAGCTTAGTATCTTTTTTCCACATCTCACCCCACCCCACCCCAAAAAGGCTAACTGAGTGACATTTCACAATAAAATGAAGATATTATGTATGTTAAATCACAACATAGATTAGATGTTATTTTGGATGGATTGAAATTCAGTTTCAGATGAGTGGACGTGGCATCAGGACCTTTTGCAGTTGCAGAAGAAACAATAAAAAATAGTATCTGATTACTTTTTCATAAAGTGACACGTTAATTGTAAATACATTCTTAAAGTATATGTATAAAGTATATGTTAAAGTATAACATATTTTAACTATATTTTAGAACTGAGATTTTGAAGAAGCACTCTGCAGCAATTTGAAAGATACATGATTTTTATTTGAACAAAACATGAAAGACACTACCAGGATATTACATTATTCTAAGCTGCTACTAGTCTAGGACAAAATAGATACCCATCACAGCAGGTTCCAATGTAGAACATTCATGCTATCTCCTCACACTTTCTGAATTCACATATGCATGCACACAGCAGCTTTAGAAACAGAAAAAACGAGAGTGACTGAGCTGAATTTGCCCATGCTTTTGTTGGGGGGATCCTTCTCCAAAATGTTCAGTGCAGTTCCATATGCAAAAGGCACAATGCTGTGAAGTTTCTCAGTATAACAGGTATGCCAAAGATAATTTCCTAAATAAGAATATGACATTATTCCATATTCCAAAGCTTAGAGCTGGCATTGCAAGTTGTAACTGTACCTCAAAATAGAGATAAAAATATAACAGAATGAATTGGAAGGGGCTTTTCAGGGTCTTCCAGTCCAATGGCTTTGAAAGTTTTTTTTTACATAGAAAGCAGTTTTTCATGCACTCCAGGGAAGAGAGGAAAGGCTATTCAATAAATACAAATTTAAGGCTGAAGTTGTATATACATATATTTAGCTCATTAAAATAAGTAAAGCTCACTTCCAAGAAAGCACACTATTCAGTTTCTTTAACCATTTACCTGTGCTAGAGATGGGGGGGGGGAGGGATAAACAAACTATAATTATCTTCTATGTGGAAGTCATTGTACTGTATATAGGTAGTCCTTGACTTAACAATTCATTTAGTGACCCAAGTTAGAATGGCATTGAAAAAAGTGACTCAGGACTTTTTTTCACACTTATGACCAATGCAGCATCCTCACGTTATCAAATTTCAGATGCTTGACAACTGACTCATATTTAGGCTGCTGCAGTGCCCTGGAGTCATGTGACCACCTTTTGCAACCTTCTGACTAGCAAAGTCAATGGGGAAACCACTTAACAACCAAGTAACTTTGGGGCTCAATTGTGGTCGTACATCGAAGATTACCTGTTGTTTTAAATCTTAAGTTTCTTCCCTCTTCCATAAAAATTGCCAGTGCTCTCTCTGTATTCTTTAAATTAACTTGACAGGTATATTTGGCCCTCAAGCTAAAAACTACTCATGCAAAGTTATACAGGTAAAACTCGAAAAATTAGAATATCGTGCAAAAGTTCATTTATTTCAGTAATGCAATTTAAAAGGTGAAACTAATATATGAGATAGACTCATTACATGCAAAGCAAGATAGTTCAAGCCGTGATTTGTCATAATTGTGATGATTATGGCTTACAGCTCATGAAAACCCCAAATCCACAATCTCAGAAAATTAGAATATTACATGCAATCAATAAAACAAGGATTGTACATAGAACAATATCGGACCTCTGAAAAGTATAAGCATGCATATGTACTCAGTACTTGGTTTGGGCCCCTTTTGCAGCAATTACTGCCTCAATGCGGTGTGGCATGGAAGCTATCAGCCTGTGGCACTGCTGAGGTGTTATGGAAGACCAGGATGCTTCAATAGCGGCTTTCAGCTCTTCTGCATTGTTCGGTCTCATGTCTCTCATCTTTCTCTTGGCAATGCCCCATAGATTCTCTATGGGGTTCAGGTCAGGCGAGTTTGCTGGCCAATCAAGCACAGTAATCCCACGGTCATTGAACCAAGTTTTGGTGCTTTTGGCAGTGTGGGCAGGTGCCAAGTCCTGCTGGAAAATGAAGTCAGCATCCCTATAAACCTCATCTGCGGAAGGAAGAATGAAGTCCTCCAAAATCTCCTGGTAAATGGCTGCATTGACCCTGGACTTAATGAAGCACAGTGGACCAACACCAGCAGATGACATGGCTCCCCAAATCAACACAGACTGTGGAAACTTCACTGGACTTCAAGCATCTTGCAGTGTGTGCCTCTCCATTCTTCCTCCAGATTCTGGGTCCTTAGTTTCCAAATGAGATGCAAAAGTTGCTCTCATCAGAAAAGAAGACTTTGGACCACTGAGCAACAGACCAGTTCTGTTTTTCTTTAGTTTCTGACATTGTTTGTTGTTCAGGAGCGGCTTGACAAGAGGAGTACGACATTTGAAGCCCATGTCCAGGATCCGTCTGTGTGTGGTGGCTCTTGATGCACTGACTCCAGCCTCAGTCCACTCCTTGTGAAAGTCCCCAACACTTTTGAATGGCCTTTTCCTGACAATCCTCTCCAGGCTGCGGTCATACCTGCTGCTTGTGCACCTTTTTTTTCCACACTTTTCCCTTCCATATAACTTTCTATTAATGTGCTTTGATACAGCACTTTGGGAACATCCAACTTTGTTTGCAATTACCTTTTGAGGCTTTCCCTCCTTATGGAGGGTGTCAATGATGGTTTTCTGCACAACTGTCAGGTCAGCAGTCTTTCCCGTGATTGTGATTCCTACTGAACCTTACTGAGACACCATTTGAAAGCTCAGGAACCCTTTGCAGGTGTTAATTAGCTGA